AGATTTGATAATATTTAGGAGAGTATGCCATAAAGGCCATGTGTTGAATTTAAAGAGTTTGTTAGGATTATTGAGTTAAGTAGAAAGTTTGTAGAATTTAGAGATAACAGATTGTAAGTCAATGTAAATTTAAGTGTTGCATTACAAAGTACAGTTGAAATTGCTGATAAAATAGAGAAAAGCTTTGCCTTATAGGCTGATGGCCAAAAGTGAATTTTAGCTGAGAATTTGTGAAGAATTTGGTTGTTATTGTTGACTTGGACCCATCTAATGCCCATTGAGCTTTGTTCAGTACCAATATCAGTCACTGATCCATCAATATAAAAAATAAATTCCTTATATAACAGATTATTTTGAAAGATTTCTTCGAGTTTGTTTGAACATTCATTAGGTTTAAAAATTAAAATTTTTTTTAAAAACTTTAAACAACAATAATTCAATAAAAACTTAATTAAATTTAATAAAAAATTTTTTAAATGAATTTTACAAATTTGTAGCATTTATTTTTAAAAAGTTTTATAAAATTTGATAAAGTTTTAGTTAAGTTATCTTTGCTTAAAGTTTCAAAAAATTTACTTAAAAAAAATTTGCTTGATTTTTATTAACTTAATCTCATATATATATTTGATAAAATATCCAACTGTACATTATTATTAAACAATTAGCCAGCCCAACATGATGTATTTTTTCTTTGTACATAACACCTGTAATAATTTTGAGTCTGCATTGTGAAATTAATTCAGAGAAACATTGATATAAAATTTTCAAGCAAAACAGTATACCAAAAAGAATCATTACTATCAGAAACAATTGAGCAATGAAATTAATATTCAGGAATTGGTCAAAGTATATTAGAAATATTAGTTTACTGGATCTTCACAATAAAAGCAAAAAAAAATGCTGCGCGATTAATTATCAGTTGATAACACTCTCATAGGAAGGCATTCGCATGATTGGTTAATTTTTGTAGATCTACCCGTAATTTCCCGTGATAATCAACCAATCAAAATATATAATTTTTAATTAATATTACAGTACTAATAATTCGTATAGAGACAATAAATACACGCAAAAAAAAGGTTATTATTTATATTCAGAGAATAGATAGATGCGTGTAAACTGGGTAAATGTGATATTTATTGTTAATCAACCCAACTCATTGCATTAAGGAATCGATAAAAGATAACCCAAAACCTTACCTATTAATTTACGGTGATAAACCCAAACACATTACAATAACCAACCAAATTTAATCTTAAGTACTACAAAAGGGTTTGCACTTACACAGATTAACAGTTAGAAATAAAAGTTTATTTAAATATAACGTAATAAAATAGTTTTAGACGAAAACGTTTTCAGTTAACTTCACTATACAGTATAATTTGGTCTGGTCCAATAAACGGTAGGCATATATTGTTTTCTAAGTAAAGTTCATGGGGATACAGCTTATTGCTGATTATTTTTGCATAGTAAATATAGACTTCTATCGAAGCGAAAAATGATTTTTGTGGTGATTTTTTTATTGGTGAACCGTTGTATTCCCAAAAAGTACTTTAAAGTATATAAATAAGTTACCCGGGCAATTGATTTACATCAGCCAATCAGAAGAATGTCCTCCTATGAACCAACAATTTGGGACGACCCAAAACCATGTGTCAATTAGTCTCACATAGTTTCAGCAATAAAAAAAAAGAGCTAACGCTATACTAATATCGATATACCCATGAGATCAGATGCATGTAATAGGCTAATGAAATTAGCCAATCTGCATTCAGGTATTTTCTGGTTTTGATGACTATTAATATTAGTTTAGACATCAACATTATATCAAATTATATCGAAATGATTAAACCATTGATTTTTTAAGAAATTGATCCTGAATCACATCAGCTGATATAGTAGGACGAATCAGAATGGACTAATATCTCATGAAAGGAGAAGGAAGGTAAGTTTTATAGTAAATCGATCTTAGTTAATATCTTAACGGTACATTTATACATAGATCTAATATTTGTTTACCAAGGGGTGCTTCTACATTAGCTAAATGATGTCTAAGACATTTTATTCTTTTCGATTTCTTACAATTGAATTTATACAGTTTAAAGTATTTTTTAAAAATGTAATATTTTCACAAATGAAAAATAAAAATTAAAACTGTCTCTAGTTTCTAAAAGACGCCAACATTAATTATGCAAAAAGAATCAAAAAGGTTGAGGTACTTTACTTAGAAGTGAAATTTCTATCGCATATTATAACTATTAATCTATATGTTATTTCTTGAATAAACTAACTCAAACAGACTTTTTAAAAATCATAAAAACTTTATTAGCTTGCAAATGAGAAGGTTTAACAAGAAGTTTTAGAATATAAGGAACGTTTAATATAAAAAAATAGTTAGCAATAAAGATCATTGAAAACTTTTAAGTAAAATCAAGATTATGTATTTACGATGGTTTCTTGACAATAAACCTCTTATTTAATATTATAATAAACATTAAATAAGTTTTTAGAGCCATATATTGGTTTATAATAGAAGTTATGGCATATGATAAAATACTTTTTCTTTATAAAACTGTAAAAATACTAGCGCTATGGTATATTACAATATTAATGGTCGTATACAAAATTTTATTGGTTGATTGTCACATGTTAATATATACGGCCAATCATAAATTTTATATTATTAGCCAATCACGAGAAAGCTATCCTATAACCCTTTTAAGAAATGCATAATGATACATTACTGCATTAACTAACCATTCATTTCTAGTTGTTAGATGTCTAATTTAGGAATAACTTCTAAAACAACGTACTCTTTTAGAAATTATTCCTAAATTAGCATACCGTGTCTACGGTCAATTGAATAAAGCCTAAATAATGTCTACTCAGGTTTTTTTTTTTTTTTTGAGCATTGATTATTGTAGATCTTTAAAACTATTAACTATTAAATATATATAGTTAGGTTTATGGAACATTTATCTTTAAATCCAACCTTTTTTTTAAATTTTCTTAATAACAAAAAAGTTTTTTTTTTACACTTTGATCACGAAATGAATATTAAAGCGGAAATTAGTTATTAAAAATATTCGATTTGATTACAAAGAAGGTCAGATATATATGTAATGGGAGAATGTCAAGTATATTAATATAAGGTGAAAGAAACACAGGCACACTCAGCATCACGCAAATCTTTGGAAAAGAATTTAAAAAGTAACCATAGCAACAGCATAGAAAGGACTAAAAGAAAAAGAAAAGAATCGGATCCCAAAATGATTATATTATAATTCTTCAGTATTATGATACTTTATTAATTACAAAGTTGTATCAAAATATTTTGATCAAGTGTTTAATTTTGATTGAGTTTTAACTTCTGAGTATCAAAATAAAAAACTTTATCATTCATGCTATTATTACAACTATTGATTATATCTGATCTTGCGGTAAATACCGAAATAACTTACGGAATTTATTGAACAATAATTAGGCGAATATAGAACTATAAATTATATAACAAATAGTTGTATTGTTCTCGTTTATTTTATTTATTTATTTATTTTGTTATATTAATAAAAACCATTCTCAGCAAGGTAGAAATACGAATATACACATCATGTAAGGATCCATAAAATCTTAAGGTTACCTTATACCCATGTCTCAGTCGTAGAATGATTCACCAATTATAGTTTAAGGTGAAAAAATTTCTAATTCAAAATTTACCTGGCTCGTTTCTAAAAGATAATTCATACAAGTAGTTAATTTGGTAAGATTTTCATCTTAAAAAAAAAAACAAAATCCACGTTCAAATGTCTTTGAGAATTTTATTGACAACAATATTATGATCACATAATCAAATTCAAAACAAAAAAAAAAAAATAAAGCCTGAATTATACAAAATGTCTAAAATTACAGTTTATATATCAATTTAAATTAAAAAAAAAAAAACCCCCCAAAAATATATTACAATTACTACGAGAATTCAAATGCTCGAGTAAATTGCATTCTAAAATAAAAAAAAATAAAAATATGCGTTTATGAATTTAATAATTTAAAAATAATTAATCACCATGGTAAAGATTCTTTGCGCTTGACTGGATTAATAACATTCGGTGATAAATTTTCATTGGAATAAGACTCGTTAGGTGTGCCATCAAATAATTCACCAGTTGGTCTTCCTGGTGGATATGTAGCTGAACGAACAGTAGTTGGCATTGAATCAATCGATATCAATGAATCTACATTAATTTTAAGATGATGGCGCCGTCTAATAATTTTGCTTTCTTCATGATACGAAAGTGCACATTCTGTGAATATATATATATATGATTCTAATTAGTCTTTATTTTGAAAAAATATTTAATAATAAAAAGTAAATACCTTGTAAATGCGTTTTTAATTCCATTGAATATGAATAATCCAATGCTGTCCAACCAGAATGGTTTTTAACAGCAAATTGACACCCCCTTTCAATTAATACAGTAACAGCCTTTAAATTAATAAAAATATCATGTCATTAATTGAATCATTGTTGTTTAAGTCATTAATCAATCAAATAAAAACTTTAAAATATTTACATCGAATCGTTCCCAAGCAGCCGCACTATTAAAATTATAATAAAAGGCGTTAAGTTCAATTCAATACTTTATTAAATTATTCGAATACACTTACTAATGCAGCGCTGTGTTCCCTTCGAGATCAGTTTGATTAATATCAGCTTCGTGTTCAAGTATTAGCTAAACATATTGGCATTAGTAAATTATACATAACATGTAAAAATAATAGATATCAAGGCAAGTCAATAACCAACTTTAATAGGTTCAAGGTTGCCGTATTTCGCTGCATAAATTAATGCTGTCTGCCCTTGTTTATTGACCATATTAACACTATTCGGAAAAGACGTTATATAGAGTTTCATTATCTATATGCGAAAAACAAATATATACAGTACATATGTATTTTTATGAATACAAAAATTTTTATAAATGAATGTATGAATTTCATTCTTACTTCTACGAAATTGTATTGCGAAGCAACCATCAATATTGTATTGTTATCAAAATCCTTGTTTTTTTTTTAAAAACAACAATTAGAAACGTGGTCAGAGAAATAATAAAATAAATAGTGTGAAGAAACAGACCAACCTACTCTAGAGAGCTCAACCTCTTCGTGGCCGTTTTTGAGAAGGTATTCCACAACGCGATCATGGCCATAACGAGTAGCATACATTAAAGTAGTCCTTTGAATTCCGACCAAAGAAGAACATTAGCATTAAAAGCGTGGCTCAAAATAAAAATAAAGGAGGCTTCGGGAAGTACACACGTCATACCAGCCATTCACTGGGTCGGGGTTTTGCATGTTAGTTTTTGCAATCAGCCGTTTAATAAGATGAAGGTTGCCTTCACAGGCAGCACGCCGTAGTCGTACTCGCGGGTCTTCTACTGGCATAATTAATATTGATATACGTAATCAACTGTGACTTTTTTTGTAGATGCCAGTTTTTTAAAATGTTTAGTAACTTGTAAAGCCCGAGCATTTAACTAGTTTGTGGCGGCTGTGTAACGAACAACAAAGTAAATCAAATAAATCAATTGGTTATCATTATTTTAAAATTATTATTACGTACAAATTTTCACACAGCCATTAAGCATAAAGCGTTAATGAATTTCACACATAATATCTTTACAAATCGTTTTTTAAATTTTGACATAAAAGTGTTACTATTTACGTAAAACTGAGAACTACCTATCAAATATCATCTACCGTTTTTATACTGTATTAATTTGTAAATTTTTCCGGTGATTTTGTGTGCCGATTTTTTGTATAAAATACGACTCGTTAACAGTCGTGCACACCAAATCATAACTGCAATCCATAAAGTCATGACGTCTTCAAATGTAGGTTCTTCGGATGTTTCTGGAACATGTTCTATGTAAATAAAAAAAATAAAAATTTCATTATTCGCTTTTCATCTCGGTTCGTTTCATTTCCGTTTTGTTTCGCTTTATCTCATTTCGGTCTCATTTCGTTTCGCTATTGTTCATTTTGTTTCATCTCATTTGTTTATCCCATTCGTTTCATCTCATTCGTTTCATCGCATTCGTTTCATTTTCGTTTCCATAATTCATTTATAATAAAAAATGCTTACCTGTTTCTACAAAAATTTCCGTGAATTCTTCATTTTCTTTATCATAAACAACATAAAGAAATTCCTTTAACGGATCAACATAATTCAATTCAACTTTATGAGCTACCGCTTTCAATGCCACTATGTTTGGTAAATGATTTTCACTAGAATCCAATTTTACTGTATGTCTTAAGAAAGAATAAAATCGTTTTACGCCAGTTAACTCTTTTTGAATTTGACCAACATGTGCCACATATAATCCATCAACACTGGTAAATTTGTAAATTGGGCAATAACAGTGTTGTTCTTTTGATAAATAAATGACTACTTCTTTATCTTTGGTTGGAGTAACAAGTGTCAAGATCGCGTTTTGAGTTGCATACGGTTCAAGTGTCTTTCCTATATATGAAAGGTACCGTGCAACTAGAGAAATTTTTTTACATGCTTTATAATTATCCCTTTTTTAAAAACAAAAATTTTTTCCTTACTATATATATTTGACCTACCTCGAAGACATGCAAGACGATAATATTTTCGTGCTGAATTATGAACTTCATTAGTAAAATTAGGATCCATGTTCGAAAATTTAGAGTAAGACATTTCTCTTATAAAGGAAAATTTCGAGATTATATATAGTCTGTTGTGGGAATTTCATATTTATAAGTATTTTCGGTTTGTTGACAATTTGACATATTGAATGTTTCCAAATGAAGTAGATTCCTGTCATTCCTGAATTTAAGTTTTGCGTGCAGTTTTCAGATGTTATGCAATCGTTGATAATTTTTTTAGATTTATTGATTTATTGATATCAATAAACGATATCGATATATATACACTTTTATGTATGTCTACGTATATCGATATATATATATTTTTATTTATATAATAAAAACTTGGTATCAAACTTTATCGTGATTTGTCTGATAGCCTAAAACCCGTATAACCTGTCTATATGATTTCTGATTTTCGGAGTTATAACAGGATGATCAGGTAACTATATATATATTTTTTTAGCCAATTATATTATTTTCTTTTAACTACAAATCCTTTCATTGTTGTATACGCAATCTGATAAATGGATTTAACTATAAAAAAATAATTTATTTGATCTTTATTTGGTAAACAAAATTCTATCAAAAAAAAAAAACCAGATATTGATTATATCGGTACTGTGTATTTTTCATCTTTTTTTTTTTTTAATAAATTTTTGGTCAAAAAAAAAATATTGCTAATTTAAATTTATGTAAGGGAAGCAGCTTACCGTATATGATGTAATTGCACGTTGCAATCAATGAAAATTTTGATTCCTATTTGAATAAAGGGTTTGCGTTAGTACAATAGGCGTTGTGACTTTCGAAAATTATTAGTTAAATGGTTTTTTGTTTATTAATAATTGTCGCATACTTTTATCATTTTTATTCATTACGCAAAGTGATAAATTATATAATAAAAGCATGTGACAATTTCCAATAAACAAGTCTAATAACTGGTTATCAGTAAAATTTTTGACATCCGAAATCCCTATTGTGCAAAACTCATGATTGGATCATCATTATTACTATACGTATGATAATTTCGGCATATCTTCTTAAAATTAAATTAATATTGATAAGTATTACGTATTATATCTTTGAAATCATACAAAATTGTAATGTCTTCAAGTCTAAATTCGAAATTGTAATAGTGTGGGTTATCACAAATCGATCCGAAACTTTCAAGTCTGGTAACTTAGAGTAGCGGTGTTATTCAGTGCTAATCATTAACTAAACATTTTTGGAAAATTATCATTATTATTTAAATTACTATATATGAACCAAAGTATAGTACGGGACAGTAAAAGACATCCAATCAATACATATAGGCGCCAATTTTTGGTTCTTATATAATCAATTTTGATTGGCTAATTTTTGTGTAATTGATTTTGATTGGTTAAAAATATATATATGTTTTCTTTTTTTTTATATTAAATGCCAATTTTTTAAACTCATATAAACTTTAATCTTTTATAACTTTTTTAAAACAAAGAATAAAAAAAATCCTTTGACAGAAATGTAGTTTATCTAAAAATCTATCAATTTGTCAGAGGTTTTTTTGATTTAACCTGTTTTAAAAAAGTTATAACATTTCAAAGTTTTTATTAATAAACATTGGATGTCTTTTACTGTCTGGTATTGTATAAGGTTAAAGTAAAATTCTAGAGTTTTACTATATATTGACAAAATTTAAGTTTTAAATTTGAAATTTGTAAATAAAAACTTTAAAAAACAAATTAAAAAGTTAATAAAATTATAGTGAGTGCAGTCTAAAGACATCAAATGCTAAGCTACTGCTAAATTATAATATATATATATTGTATATTTCTAAAAATAAGTTACTTTTTTTGCAAAAATCAAAAATTTGTAATTCATTTTTTTTTTAATATTGGATCGTGAATTTTATTAGTACTTTTTTAAATCACAAAGTTGTTACAGAAGGCTTTTTATATAGATTTGGCAGATTTCACTAATACTTAATTCATCAACACCTATTTTACTAATAGTCATTTCACTAATAGCCCATTTTTCTAACAATACATTTTACTAACAATTTATTTTCTTAACAATTTATTAATTATTTTGTATATTGGTAATTATATTTAGTGTTATAGAACGATTATTTTATTTTATTTTATTATTAGTTATTTTTAGATATTATTTAGTTATTATTATTAGTATATTATTTTATATTGTTATACATGATGTAATACTTAGTTACTGTGCCAATTACTGTGCCGATTACTGTGCATTACTGTGCCAGTTACTGTGCCGATTACTGTGCATTACTGTGC